AGGGCAAGAGTGCGGCCGCTTCAGAAAGCATTTTGAAAGTTCTTTAAAATTAAACATAATCCTCCCACGTGAGGCCACCATCCCACTGCTGGGAATTTACTCAAAAGAAATAAAAGCATATGAACAGACTTACATATCAATGTTCATAGCAGCTCTATCTGTGATAATCAAAAACTGGGAACAACCCAAATATCTATCAACAAATTAATAGGGCAAATGAATTGTGGGCTAGCTGTACAATGGATTACAGCTCAGAAATAAAAGCGAGTTAAGTTTTAAGGCAGGCAACAATATGGATACGTCTTAAAATAATAGTGCTGGGTAAAAATCGCCAGACAAAAAAGGCATATGATTCTAGAAATGCAACTAGTCCAGAGTGTCAGATACCAGTCAGTGGTTACCTGGGGACGGCGGGGGGCAGGGGCTATTAAATGGGGAACGAGGGAACTCTGGGGGAACCTTGGAAACACGAGCTCAGTGACAGAAGCCAGACATGAGGCCCCGTAGTATGCGATTCCACTTCCGTGAACTGCCCGGAATGGGCAACTGCACAGAGACGGGGCGTGGATTCGCGGTTGTCGGGCGGGCGAGGGAGAAGGGGAGAGGCTGCTGACGGCGACAGGGTTTCCTTTAGGGGAGATGAAGATGTCTTGGAGTTCGATGGGGGTTGTAAAACACTGCACATGTACGAAGTGTCAGTGAATGGCAGTTTAAAATGGTTAATTTTATGTTATGTGGATTTTCCTTGATAAAGGGTGAACGCACAGTGAGAGTTGGGCAGGACCCACACATACGCACCCCCCATCTTTAACACTGCAGCCCCGGCCTAACCCCACCCCAGCCCCTCCGGGCCAGCCTCTCTGACCGCCAGCATTTCACCAGGTACTGGGACCTGCGCCGCCCTGTCTGCCTACATCCTCCTCCTAGCAGGTCCCCAAACATGTCTCCCTTTTACACCTGGACCCTCCCTGGAGGGTCCTGGAGGGGACTCACTGGGCTCGCTGCACAGGACAGACAGGTCGCCGGCAGAACGGGCTCTGCTTGAGGGAACAGAGAGCTGACACCCAGCGCCCACACCGGGACGGGGACTCTGTGGCTGCCCTGGTATGCCGATGCCAAAGCTGTAACTGAGAGAGCAAGGCTGCCTGCCAAGGGCTCAGCAGCTGGCTCAGTGGCCAGGGAGTCCCCACCCCGGGTCAGCCCGTTTGTGGCGGCTGGTCTGCAAGGATGGCCCCACGCACTGGGCCCCTGCCGTGTTCTCTCCCCTCCTCCCCTGCACACGTGTCCAGGCTAACCTGGGACTGCACCGAACCCCCAGAACACAGCAGAAAGATGCCGGCCCGGCTCCTGGAGAGCCGGGCCTTCAGAAGGGCTGGCGGCTGCAGCTCTGCCCTCACGGGAGCCCTGAGTCGCAGCGGAGGGAGGTGGCCGTCCTGTTCAGGCGGCCACATAGGAAGGCCCTCCGGAGAGGCCACATGGAGAGGGGGAAGGCCCATCACCCCAGCTGTCCCCTGAAGGCACCAGACGTGACAGAGACAGTCTGGATGGTGATGTCCAGCTAGCCTGGCCCCCAGAGGGCAGCAGCCACAATCAGGCAGAACAAAAGAGCCGGTAGCCATGCTGGCATAAGGGCCGACACAGACCAATGGAACGGAGTAGCGAGCCCAGCAATAAACCCACGCCTCTGTGGCCAACTGACTGAGGATACCAATAAATGGTGTTGGAAAAGCGACAGGTTAACATGCAAAAAAATGTAAACTAGACCACTCTCTTACACCATATACAAGAATAAACTCAAAATAAATTAAAGACTTAAATGTAAGACCTGAAATCATAAAACTCCTAAAAGATAGTGCACTCTCTGGCCCCACCCTTAGTAATATCTTTTTCTGGATATGTCTCCTCGGGCAAAGAAAACACAAGAAAAAAAGAAACAAATGGGACGACACCAAACTAACACACTTTGCATAGCAAGGAAACCATCAACAAAATGAAAGGCAATGCACTGAATGGGAAAAGTGTTCACCAATGAGACATCCAGAAGAGGGTTACTGTCCAAAAATGTATAAAAAACTCGTACAACTTAACACCAAAAAATCAAGCAGTCTGATTTAAAAATGGGCAGAGGACCCGAACAGTATTTCTCCAGGGAAGACAGATGGCCAATAGACATACGAAAAGATGCTTAAGATCACTAATCATCAGAGAGATGCAAGTTAGACCGGCAAAGAGATATCACCTCACACCTGTCAGAATGGCTGTTATCCATAAATCAACAAACAGCAGGTGTTGTGAGGCTGTGGAGAAAAGGGAACCCCTGGGCACTGTGGGTGGGAATGCAGATGGTGCGGCCCCTGTGGAAAGCAGTGTGGAGGGTCCTCAAAATGTAAAAAATAGAATTACCATATGATCCAGTGATTCCACTTCTGGATATTTATCTGAAGAAAACAAAAACACTGATTTAAAAAGATATATGCACTACGGTCGCTGCAGCATTGTATACAATCGCCAAGATACGGAAGCAGCCTAGGTGCCCATCGATGGATGAGCGGATGAAAAAATGGTGGTGCGTTCACAGGATGGAGGATTACCTGACCGTAAAAAGGAATGAAGCTTTGCCATTTGTGAGAACATGGCAAATGCTCAGTGAAATAAGTGAGGCAGAAAAAGTCAAATACCATCGGATTTCACTTATATGTGGAATCTCAAAAAAAAAAAAAAGAAAGAAACCAAAACAAAATAAACAAACAAAAGCAAACTCATAGAACAAACTGAAGGCTGCCAGATGGGACGGGGTGAAAAAGGGGCAAGAGATTAAGAAGTAAAAATTGCAGTTACAAAAGGTCTCAGGGATGTAAGCACAGCACAGGGAATACAAAGCAGGGAATAGCATTGTAGTGACTGTGTGTGGGGTCAGATGGGTACCAGACGCGTAGGGGGAGCACTTCGTCAGTTGCATGCACGTCTGACCGCTATTCTGCACACCTGAAACTAATATGACACTGAATACCAACTGTAACTGAGAAAAAATATTTGATTGAAAAAATAAAATATGATAATAACATTTTTAAAAAAGCAGGGAGCCACCAGCCAGCCCGGTGAACTATGACAGTATATTGATGACTGCTGGGAGCTTTCGGGCGGGCAGTGATGGGCGCCCCTGATAGATGAGGGCCCAAGTGACACCCCAGAAAGACCCAAACTCTAGGCCTCTGATGAGGGGCGTGTGACACCTGTGGGGCCTCCTGGCCCCCGGCCCCCTGCAGCTGAGCATGCCTGAGCAAAGGAGAAAACCCAAAACACCTAAAAACAAGACATCCCTGCTGAGATAACTCCTTCCTGTCAGCTGTTAGAAGCCCACCACGGTTCTGTCTCTTTGGCAGGACATCTCGGCCAGCTCAGGGTGCACCCAGAGGGTGCAGAGGGGAGGCCTTGTACCCAGAAGGTGGGCAGCCCCTGTTCCACTGTCAGCAAGCCCCCACCCTGGCTGCAGCCCGCCGTCCAAGCCTCATCCCCTCTGCCCCACAGATCGCTCAGCCCCCAGCACGCGGCCCCAGGCCCAGACCCCGAAGCCCGCCTTAGCCACCTTCCCCAATGGGGAGCGGAGTCCCGAAATCAAACTTTCCCACCTCTAGGAAGCCCTCCCGGTGCGCCCACCTGCTGGATCCCCTCCCAGCATCGTGTGTCAGGGGCCGGCCCCCTGCCAGCCAGACCTAGGAGCCCCAAGACCCTGCGTGGGACCCTGGGTGTCCCCCTGCACGGGGCTGCGTGGGGCCAGCTGACGGATATCCAGTCCACCTCCGAGGAGGTCAGGGAGGTCACTGCCCCGCGGGGCGGCTCCCTGGGCCCTGGCCACCCCCTTCAGGGAGGACGGGACAGGGAGGGCTGGAGCAGAGCCTCGCCTTCCTGCCCAGCGGGCAGGGTATTTACAAGTGTATTAATTGTGTTTTCTGTATTCTTGGTGCTCCGGCAGTGGACATCCCCCTAACCAGGGAGGGACAGGGCATAGGGGTTAGATTGTTCTTAAAGATACCAAACAAACCACCTTTCCTGTGCAAACCAACCAATCCAGAGCCACTATCCTCCTGCCCTGACAACGAGGGACAGTCAGTGTAAGCGCCTGACAATAAGCTTTTTGCTTGCTGAGGCATCCATTTCAAAAGACATCTCTCTTGAATAAACACTTTGCTGTCCAATGGCATAGCTACTGGCAGGACGACCAGATAAGGAATTGGGCTGCTCCCACACCTGAAAGACCCTCTTTCAGAAAGCACTGGGAGACCCACAACTTGCGTGGCCTTGCTTCTCCCTTCCTGCACCCTGATTCCTGCTCTTATGTTTCAAGTTCACCAACAGATATCGCAGGCAACCCTAGGTGACTCACCCTCAGCCCCTAATAAAGAGAGAGTCCCAGGCCTGTGCGCCCCACAAATCTAACCCCCCGTGTGGCCCAGAGCCTGCATGTCAGCTCCGGGCCCCTGAGTCATAAGAAAGTCTTGTTCCTCCAAGTCCCCGATGGTTGCTGCTGAGGCGCATCCTGGGATCACACTGAGAACCACCAGGGCCGGCGCAGCCCTAACCCTGGCTCTGGTTGGGGAACGTTGTGGGGCAGCAGGAGCAGTAAGGACCCAGGCGAGTGTCTCTGGCCTCCTGAGGGCGTCCCTGTCAACAGGCTGACACAAAACAATGCCCACACCGAGCCCACTGAAGCCACTCACACTAGCGACCCAGGCCTGCTCACCCTGCCCTGTCCCCTCCTTCTGGTGGAAGCCACAGTCAACACTCAGCCCATGTTGTCCCCCGCCTCTGCCTCCTGACTGCCCACGAGCTTCCTTGTGTGGCCTGCCCACAGCGGCTCGCATCCGCTCCTTGTGAGGTGCAATGTGCTTTTTAATTTTTTAAATATTTTATTTATTTTTAGACAGAGGGGAAGGAGAGGAGAAAGAGAGAAACGTCAGTGTATGGTTGCTTCTTACATGCTCACTACTGGGGACCTGGCCCACAACCCAGGCATGTGCCCAGACTGGGAGTCGAACCGGCGACCCTTTGGGTCACAGGCCTGAGCTCAATCCAGTGAGCCACACCAGCCAGGGCTGCCTTTTCGATGGCAGTCCTCCCTGATCTGTCGGCCTCATCATACGCCTGACGGCCACGCTGGACAGGGAGCCCCCCGGACTCCAGGAGGCAGCGCCCAAGTTCTGCTCTCCTTGAAGAAGCCCGTGGGTAACGCGACTGCCCCGCGCCCCTGCTCTGGTCCCAGGAAGCAGGATGGCCAATGGGGCGCCTCGGGCTGGGTGCTGCGCGCAGAGGGGGGCTGCCGCCCAGAGCCCAGGCTGCTCCGGCAGAGACAGAGGCCCAGAGGCAGGCAGAGTTCTGTGAAATCACTTTAATCACCACCCTCACATAGGGTGGGGCAGTGGCAGTGTCCAAGCAAGGGCCACCCCCACCCCAGAGCGGCCTGGGAACAACCCCTTGGTTCCGGCTGGGGCCTGTTCTCCATCCAGGCTCCCCACGTTCAGGGGGAGGGCTAGGCGCCTCCACTCTCCTGGGTCACCTCTGCAGGAGCTCACGCCTGCAGTGCTGTGTGGCCAGAAGAATGCACGTCTGAGGGCCGGTGCGCCACCAGCCTCATGCGTGTTCCCTGAGCTGCCATGCTCAGGGCCTCAGCAACATGATGGCAAGAGCTCCTCCTCAGAACGGCGAGGCCTTCCTCTCTGACAGCAGCTTCAGCGGGCCGAGGAGCCCCTTCGCACAGAGCCGGGACAGCACAAACAGGGCGGCGGCGACCAGGCCTGCACTGAGCACCCCTGCGGGGAACAGGCGGGCGGGAGCGGGTGACGGAGTGGAAGGAGCCCCACGGGGCTGCAGCCTGTCCCCTCCCCAAGCCCCGCTCCTCGGAGCAGCTGCCCCAGGCCCGGAGGCCCGGGGAGCGGGAGTGGGAGTGCGGGGGCACGTTCCTCATACCGGCAGCTGCGAGAGCTCCGTAGGCACTTCGACTTCCGGACTGGACTGAGTCCTGGTCTGTGCCAAAGGTGGCTGTGGTATTCCTGAGATGGGGGATGCTCTCTGGAGTCACAGGGGTCCCCACAGACGTGCCTTCCTGGAAGGTCTCAGTTCCTGCAGGAAGTCCAGGCATTCATTAGCTGCGGAGGGGGCACCCAGGGCACGGGGCGGGGGATGAACAGGGCTTCCAGGTGCCTGAGGGGGGGCCTTGAGGCTCATCTTCCACCCCACACGGGGTGAGGTTGGTGAGCACAGATGCCGGGAGTGACTCTCACTGCCCCCACGGGGATGCAGACAAGAGCAGACACACGTCCACGGTTCCCAGCCACATCACGTACCAGAAGGTGTCCGACGTCCTTATCTAAAGACCAGCCCTCCCCACCACGACTGCCATGATGAGGCCCCATGGCACACACCACAGCCAAGCTCGTCGCTGGAGTGAAGACAGTCTGAGTGGCCGTCACAGAACCACGTGTGTGGGATGCAGGTGCTCTCCTGCGGGCAGTGGCGCTCCCCCGCCGGGCAGGGCTGGCGGCTGCAGTTGGGAAGGTTCTTGCAGCCATCGACGCTGTCACAAGAGCAGGGGCTGTCCACGGGCGGCGGGCACTGCCCGTCTTGGGTGCACGGCTCCCTGTCTGGAGTACAGGGTCAGTCGGGTCCCAAAAGCCCCCACAACAGCTGCTCCCCACACCTCGCTCCCTGGCAAGCCTCCCTGTTCAAGACCACACTAACTCCACCTCCCTGTTAACCCACCTCTGGTGAATCCCGGGACCCAGACTTCCCGCCTTAAAAGCCCCACCCACTCAGTCCCCGCCTCCCATGGTCCCACCCCTGAAAGTCCCGCCCCAGGGAGTGGCCACTCACTGCACTCCTCCTCATCGCTGCTGTCGCCGTCGGGGCAGTCCGGGTCACCGTCGCAAAGCCAGGTCTGAGGCACGCAGAAGCCGCTGACGCGGCACTGGAATTGGGTGGGAGGGCACGAGCCGGGGCTGGGACCTGTGAGAGACACACACAAGTGATTCCTGGGAGGCCAGAGCCTGGTCCCTCTCCAGAGGTCCGGCGGTCACAGGCCAGGTCCCAGTGCGCTGGAACTACACTGGTGGCCACCCTTTGCTGAGAACCTGCTTTGTGTGGGGCTTGGAGTCAGAGTTCACAGCCTCACCCTGCAGCCTTCTGGGCAGGTTCTGTGGCCTCCCCCAGTCTACGCAAAACACGGCAGGGCAGTAAGGCCAGAGGCAGCGGACCGCTGGGAGCGTCAGGGCGGACCCACGCCTCCCCGACCCTGGAGTCACTACCAGCTCCAGGTGGCCAGACAGCTTCTCCAGGAGTCTCTCCTGGCTTCACGGTTAAACAGACTTGGGGAGGGGCCTTCTCTGGACCGAGGTGGGCCGGGTCAGCAGGCCCCATTACATGCCACCTACTTAACAAAGGGGAAACCGAGGCCCTGGGTAAAGGACCTGCTTTGTCACTAAGCTTTGTCGACTGAGCTCCTAAATTCCTCCCAGACCTGACCACTTACCCTGAATGTGCCATCTCCTCACCAGGCCCACCCCCCATCTCCACGCGAACACCGGGACCTCTCGGAGTCGCATCATTGATCACCCACCCTCACCTGCCCTCTGCTCGAAGCCATCCCCTGGTCCCCTCTAACAACCAAATCCTACCTCCTCCATGAGACCCGCGCGGCCTAGCCCAGCCCTGAACCCTTCCTGGAACCCCGTCTCCTCCCACAGCCTCTCTGCCAAGCCTCCTCCGTCCTGGCCTCCTAGCGATCGCTCCACGCCAGGGCCTGTGTCTGTGCCCTCCCCCGGCCCAGGGCACTCTTCCCCTCTCAGTACCTGGTCATTTCCTGCTCAGCCTTCAGATCTCAATCTCTTTCCTGGGAGGGGCCTCACGCCCTTCTCAGAGACCCCTGAGGCTCTGCTTTCCACTTATATATAACAATGGTCCCACTTATGTATAACAATGGTCCTTAAACTGACCGGAATAGACTGGATACTCAGTGTGTGAGGACCATGACCTTGTGACTGAAAGCCCAGGGTGGTGCCTGACAACAAATGGACACAGGTCACACTTGGATGAGGTCTGAGCCTTCCTGGACGCCCCACGGTGAGGCTCCGGCTGCACGTTCATCTGGAGCAGCACAGGAGCTGGAACCTGAGCCAGCAGGCAGGCGTTTGAGGGACAGAGCAAGGGAGTGATTTTTAGGCTTCCTCTTGGGTGCAGCGAGACAGGTGGCAAACACCTGGCGTGGCCCCTGCCTAGTCTACTCCATGTGGTGCCGGCCCGCTTGCCCCTCCACTTTAACTCACGGGGGCCTGAGCCTCCAAACACCCCGCTCTCCGTAGCTGGCCCCTCTGCAGACCCCCAGGCCCAACTGCAGCTGCAGGCCACACAGTCCCCGAGCTCAGTGGGGCCCAGAGGAGCTGGAGACAACCTGGAGACGGCTTCCTTCCCTGCCCGTGAGGGCCCGGTGGCCTTGAGGCTTGGCTTACTTCCCAGGCCTAGCCAGTCTTGGCCTGGATGAGCGGTGACCTCTCTCTATGGCCTGCTGCAGTGCGTGTCCCAGTGTAAAGCGGGCAACCGAGCGGAGCTGACCCAGCCGAAGTCTGGGGGGCGCCAGACTGCTGAAGCGCCTCCTGATTTCCCCTTCCAGCCCGTTTTCTTACCTGTAAACAGGGCAGTTAGGAGTCCCTACCTCAGCGTCCTGAGGAGACTGCTTTTGTGTAAAGAGTTTGGTACTTAGTTAACGTGAGCCCTGCCACTCTCCCTGGCAGGAGTACACCTGCTCCTTTCCCTTCCACCTCTTCTTCCCACAGGCCCCTTACCTTTGCCTTTCTTTCTCTCAAGTTCCCAGGGCCCCTCCTGTGTTTCTGTAATGTGTTTGCTGAGCCTACACAGCCCAGCTGGCTCCCTTGCACTACCTCTTTAATTTTCTAAATAAGCTTTCTCTTATAATTAAGAAGAAAGAAAGAGAAAGAAAAAGAAAGAAAAAAAGAGATAAAGAGAAGAAAAAAAGAAGAAAGGAAAGGAAGGGACTTTGGGGTGAGGTGGAGGACCAGATAAGGGGGAGCCCATGGAGGAGTGAGTTAAGCGTGTGAACCTGAGCTCACAGCTGAAAGTCAGGGGCACTTGAGCACACGCGGGGCCCACTCTAACCCTCCTAGCTGCCTCTGGGAACCTCCGAGACAGCCACCGACATCACATAGGCCAGGGGCCACAGGGAGACCTTTCTAAGGGCCAGGAAGGAGTGGGTAGGGGGATGGTGGCACAAGAAACAGCCACATGACCTCATCTCAGGCGCGAGGGTTTGGAAGGCACAGCTGCTGCGGGAGGTACCAGGTACCAGGTGACCGGTCCTGCCGTGTTAGAGGTCGCCTGCAGCGATCCTTCCAGCCCACGCGGGGCTGAAGGGCGGCGTGGAGGAGACAATGGTTCACAGCAAAGCAACAAAGCAGAGCTGGTGCGGAATGCCAACAGGGCCAAGCAGGGTAATTAAAAGCCTTCACCTCCATTGGTGAAGGCTGGCAGAGCCACCGAACTGTGTCAACAGCCACAGGCAGGAGTGTCCGGGACGGATTAGCAGCGCGGTGAATGGGGAGGCGGTGCCGACGCCCGGGCAGCGTGGAGCTCACTCACCTAGGATCTGGGCCGGGGACCGGGTCGGGGCGGCCTCCAGGTCCAGCCACAAGCTGAGCAGCAGCCGCAGCAACAGGCCCAGAACAGCGGTCTGCCGCGCTTCTCGCGGCGCCATCCAGCCTCCCCGGGAGCGGGCCGAACGCCGTCTGGCCGCTCGGTAATCCCAGCGCGCGCGCGCGCGCACGGGCCGGGGGCGGGGCCCGGTGGGCTGCGGCTAAGCCTGCCGTAAATGTCCGAGTACGAGGGAACCACGATTTGAGGCTCTTCCTCACTTTTCCCAGGGGCACGGTCAACGAAAGATAAGGGGGAGGGGAGATGGAAACGAACTTGCCGGTGTCTGTTTACATTTAACGTTCTGTGTGCATCCTGCAGCAAATACACTGCCTAATTATTTAATACGGTAGCCACTCCCCTCAGGCACGCCCCATCCCGGTCTTCCCACTGCTTCTTTCCTGCACCCTACCCAGTATATATTTTATTTACTTGTTTTGATTTAGTGTCTGATTCTCCACTGGAATGAGAAGCCCAGGAGGGCAAGAAAGCTGTTTTTGTGTCCGCAGTGCCTAGGACAGTAGTAGGCTCTTAACGTAGACGTCCAGTTGTTGGCTTTCATCCTCCGTCGTGTCCCTGGCACCTGGATGCGCTCACCCAACGTCGCTGCTTCATTTAGGCCGCATGTGCCCCTCCAGTAGGGCACTATCAGTCTTCACTTTAGGAACGAGCTTTGTGAAGACAACCCTTGGGTTTTCACTTCTCACACTCACTCAGGAGGTACAGAAAATAACAAACCTGCAGGCTTTCTAGCCAATTTGGCTGCTGAGTTTTCTTGAAAATATTTTTATCTACAGTTCTGCCTTCAGAAGCAGCACGTGCAACTGCTGGCAAGACCCACGGAGACAAGTCTCTGTCCCTCGGCGTTAGGACAGATGTGGAAGTATTCATCCTCCCCCACCCCGCCCCCATTTCCTGGGAAGTGACGCTACCCTGTAAGGGTTTTCACAGAAAGGGCTCTATTTGCAGGTTGATGGCACACCTCAGTACCTGAAAATGTTGGAGGTTATAGCTGCTTTTGGAGGACACTGTCTTAAAATTAATCTCCCAGTTCCCCAAGGGGAGTGGAGTAAGAAGGAAAGGTGCAGAGGCAGGTGGGAAGGGTACAAATAGGACTGTGGCGTGGGTCAGGGTAGGGGACACTCGGCCTTAGAGGCTCAGCATCTTGGTCAGGGAGACAGCTGGGATCCAGAGAGAAAAGCTGAAACCGTCCTTGGACACTCCACGCCTCAGTTCTACTGTGGAGGCCTAACAGCACTGACCTCATAGGATTGAAGGAGCTGAAGTCACAGATAGGTGAGCACAGCACCTGTCACACAGAAGGAGCTCAGGTGTCAGACCTCGTTCCTCTTCCACTCCCTGGCCAAACTTCAAGCCTGGGCCATAAAACTATTCTGAAACCTTCCAGTGTACGTCTCGCCTGTGGTCTTCTGAAGCCCTCCAGGGTTGTCCTCCTGGTGGCTTCCACACACTCTGCTCAACCTTCCTCACCCTCCAGCTCTTCCTCAGTTTGATTCATCATTTGCCTGTCATAACCCCATCTCCTCCAGGAAGTCTCCCAGGCGTGTGAGCCTATCCCTAGCCCTCTGATGAGCTGTGAGCAGCTGGCATTTGCAATGCCTACTCCGGGGCACTTGCCCCTCTGGCCGTGCTCTCCACTTCTGTCACCGGGCACACAGCTGAGCTCAACCTACTGCAGGCTGCGGGGTTCCTTCACGGCAGCCACAACACAGACACACAACCCCTCTGGAGGTCACTGTGTGGCCCCCCATCACACCTGCAGCCAGACCGGGGCCACTTCCTTTTGGCTTTCGCTCTCCAGCTCATTCCCCCAAAGGCACAGGCCCTTCCCTTTCCTTGGCTGACACTGCCTCACCGCCCCTACGCCCCAGCCCCCCCAGGTCCCCCAGGCCTGAGCATAAACGTTTCTGACTCGGGGAGGCCTTTCCTCCCCTGCCGTAGGGGAGCCTTACTGGTGAGCTGCCTTGCTGTCCTCTGCCTTTGCTGCTGAGCTGCAGGGAGGTCACAGTCAGGCAGGAGCCACAGTGGGAGGGTGCTGGCCAACGTCCACCTAAGCAATGGCTCGAAAAGCTCCTGAGAGAGCTAAGTGAGCAGTGCATTCGGCTCTGCTGCCCTTCAGTCCAAGCCTCCCAACCCCCAGGCCATCACTCTTGGGACAGACCCAGGCCCTTGGGCACGGGACGGAGACATCTCTGGGCCCCCTGCACATGCCGTGCATCTCTGACTCCTGTCACCCAGGAGCCCGAGAACCACTATCCCTCCCTGACCCTGGAGCGCTTAGCACGAACTTCATCTCAAAATGCAAGTAAACTCAGTGTTGCTTTAGAAGTAAAAATACCAGTGATACTGGAGAGCACGATATATTTGTCATAAGTTAGGTCACATTCTTCCGGGAGGGAAGACAAGGAGGGGAAGCACTCAGGTGGCCCTGAGGGCACAGCCAGGTGGCCCAGAGCAGGGTCACAGGTAAGGCTGGTCTTGGGACAGCTCCCACCTCTGCATGGGAGGAGCTGGTGTCACTGCCTTCTTCTCAGTGGTCGCCACAGCTGAGCTGAAAAAGGAACAAAATCTTACCATTTGCAACAACATGGATGGACCCAGAGGGTATCATGTCCAGCGCGGTTAAGTCAGACAAAGACAAACACTGTATGATCTCGCTTATATGTGGAATCTAAAACAAGCACACACAAAACCCAACAAGTTTACAGATACAGAGAAGAGACTAGTGGTTACCCAGGGTGGAGGGTGGTAGGTGGACATAGGGGGTTAAAAGGTACCAACTTATATTTGTAAAGTCAGTCCTGAGGGTGGAATGTGCAGCACGGTGACCATAGTTAATAACACTGAATCATATATTTGAAAGTTGCTAAGAGAGTAGATATTAAAAGTTCTCATCACAAAAAAGTATTTTAACTATGTGAAGTAATAAGCAGTAAATAGACTTCTTGTGGTGATCACTTTGCAACAGAGATATTGAATCATTATGTTGTGCGCCTGAAACTAATGTAGTATGTCAGTTATACCTCAATTTTTTAAAGAAAGACTACAAAATTACAAAACAGCAATGCCTGGGATTCTCCCACAGCTCTTGAAGGGACCTTGGAGCTTCCCAGGACTTGCAGGAAGCCCGCCCTGGGCGGAGGTCCTAACCTTCCTCTGAGCTCGGTGGGGATTAAACGAGTCTGCAGGTGAAAGCCTCCAGCTGCACAGTTCCCAGCGCAGCTGATGCTCAATAAATGGGACCCTGAAAAGCAGGAGCGAGAGAGGGCTGGCAGCAGGAGGCGCATGCGGCGTCCTCACCTCTCTGCTGGCTTGCCTGACGCCAGCGCCTTCGATGAGGACATGACAACCGAGGGTGGCGCGGATTCCCGCCGGCCGTCACGAGTGCAGTAGTAATTGCTGGAGAGCTTGTGGCTGGGGCCCACAGGGAGTGTGGGAGGAGGCTGAGTCCTGAGGAAAAGGACATGGGCATTAAAGCAAAAGCCGTAAGCGTTCTCACTGCCTGGCTGAGCAGGGCCGCTCACCTCAGTCATCAGGACAGGCCGCAGGCCAGGAGTATCCCTTGGTACGTGCCCTGTCATGGAGGGACATGCACAGAGAGGGGCCAGAGCCTAGGAGCAGGTGGCAGCCCAGGCTTCGGACGTGAAGGTACTAAAAGGTGGGGTCTGGCCCTGCCCCACTGCAGGTCCCTACCTGCCGCAAATGTGGTGGGTAGGGAAGGACAACTTTTTTGACACCCACAGAGGGGGCAGGCCCAGATTGAACCCCTGGGCCTCTTCCCGCCCCACCATGACCCAGAGCTTGGCGGACGGCCTCACTTCCACCTGCAGGTGCTCGGGAAATGAAGAGGACATAGCTACGGTGAGGGACTCCTCCCCAAAGGCCAGGCTACAGAACTCCCGGGTTTCTTGCTATCTCAGCAGCTCTCTGGAGAACCCCACTGGGCTCAAGGCTTGTTACTCAAAGAGCACCACCTCGTACCCCAAGCCTCGCAGGCCCCTGTACTCCCTGCCACGTCATGGTGGCTGCAGCCAAAAGAAGGGGGTGAACAGAGCTCTGTCCTGACTTAGGCTAAACCCTGGGTGAATACAGGAAGAAACTGGAAGCCTGTAAAGAAACCCTAACATCAAGACAAGATGAGCTTTCCTGGAAAACACAATAGAGAGGGAGGGCTGAAAGGAAGAAAAATCTTACAAAGATTGGGTTTTTGCTCAACCATGTTTTTAAATCAACTTTCTGTCTGATAATAATTTTGTCAGAATTTAAGTTTTTCTTACACAAGTGAAAATCACTGTATACTTTTTAAAAAGAACCCTGGCTAGTGTGGCTCAGTGGATTGAGTGCCAGCCTGTGAACCAGAGGGTTGCCAGTTCATTTCCCAGTCAGGGCACATGCCTGGGTTGCCATCCAAGTGCCCAGTAGGGGGCGCTCAAGAGGCAGCTACACATTGATCTTTCCCTGTTTCTCCCTTCCTTCCCCTCTGTAAAACTGAATAAATAAAATCTTTAAAAAAAATAAAGCAAAATCAAAAACAAACAGATAAAAATAAACTTAAAAAATTTTACAACTGGCCCTGGCTGGTGTGGCTCAGTGGACTGAGTGCCAGTCTGCGAACCAAAGGGTCACCAGTTCGATTCCCAGTGCAGGGCACATGCCTGGATTGCAGGCCAGGTCCCTGGTGGGGGACACGTGAGGTGCAACCACACATTTATGTTTCTCTCCCTCTCTTCCCTCCCTTCCTCTCTCTAAAAATAAATAAAATCTTAAAAAAAAAAAATTCTACAACTTGCTTAACCCCTGAAGTGCAGAGATGATGACTCTAGGAACAGCCACAGCCTTTGGCAAGAAGCACAAAAAAGGTACAAAGAACCAGGGCTGAGCTTCGTACAGTCCGGTATGGTAACCAATGAGGTTTGTCAGAGGAGAATTTGTTCCTAATTTGGAAAACAACAACAACAAAGAAACAAAACCCAGAGGCCAACAGAAAGGCCCAAATAATCACTAGGGGGCGCCATTATCCTAAAGAAGCTGAAAATTCTACAATACTGTTTCCTCAATGGGCTCAAAACCTGGATAGAAAAGCAATTCATAACTTTTGATACTGGGAATTAGTTACATCACGTAGGCATTCACATAAATTTGGTTACTTTAATGCTATTTTTCTTCCTTTCCTGTCAACCCTCCAAGGGGCCTTACCTTTGCCTGCCACTGACTTCACATGTACTATCCCCGTTTCCTCCAAGCATGGGCCTCCTTCCTACTTCTGGCTGTGCCTGGCCTCACAGCTTTGTGTCTCCTGCTTCCTCTGCCCAGAATGCCTTTTCAATAATTATCCTTTGGCTCCTTTTCATCATCCAGGTGAATCAAAATGTCGATCCCTTAAGAGACTTTTTCTGACCACAAGACCCGAGGTAACCACCCTCCACATTACTGTCATTCACTTTGTCTTTGGAGCATTCCAGAACAATGTCTTTTGCCTGTTGCGTTTAATTCCTTACTATGTTTCTCTCTCCAAAGATATGAAGGAATGCGGTCAAGAACTTTTCTTGCCTGCACTGGTATTCCCAAGGCTGAGGACTGACAAGGGCTTGTAAATATCAAGCACTTTGGGACATAAATGAGTTTGAAATCAAGACACTCCAGGATTCAAGTCCCAGCTGTCACTTTCTAGCTTGAGTGGCTTTAAGCAAATAATTTAGTCTCCACGCCTCAATTTTTTTTTCCATCTATAGCTTGGAAATGATACACTAACTGGCAAAGCCGCACTGAGGACTGTAAATCACAATGAGGTTTCCCAAACAGAACTCACACCCAGTCTGTCTGTTTCCAAGAGCCGTCTACATCAGAGTCCAAAAAGATTAAAGGCAAACCTGCCTGCACAGCCTGCCAGGAAGCTGGAGGCAGGATTTTGGCCCAGGTTTCAGGGGTCTAAAGGAACACGGGTTTTGTTTTTGGTGGAGGTAGGGCAGGACGGGGCGAGGGTTTGAGCAGCGAGCGGGGCCTGCTCACCGCTTGGCGATCTCCTGGTAACGCAGCTGCAGCTTCGCCTGCAAGTCTCGCTGTGGGAGGAGGAGGAGAGGAAGGTCAGCCAGCAGGGAACCCCAGGAGAGGAGAGGGACGGCCCAGGTACAGATGAACGAAGGGAAGGAGACGGACGGGCAGTTAAAGACATGGATATGTTCCCTGGCCAGGCTAAGACCCCAGGCTATTAAGGTCCGGAACTAGGGAGATGCCAGCTCTAATGCCAGGTTTCCGGCCAAGGGCTGGGGATGGAGGTGGGTGGGACCCTCGCTGAAGAGGTCAAGAGTTGGGGGTTCCAGGCTGAGCGAGGGGGACTGGCCAAGAGGGATCTCGGTGTTAAGGCCCTCAGACCCCGGGTGCAGGAGGTAGTAAAGGAGCGGGCCCCTGGTGCACGGAGTTCCCAGCCCCACAACGCGGCCCTTCCCGCCCCGCGCACCCCAGAGGCCCAGTTCCGCAGTCCCTGGATGAACCGAGTAGCGGACGCCATCTTCCGCCTGTGCTGAAGGGCGCCGATAACGTCACTACCGCGAGGGCTTGCTGGGAAGTGCCTGCACGGTCTCGCGAGAACAGGAAGGGCGGGGCTAGGGCGTCGTATAAAGGGGCTCCTCAAAACACGTGACTCCTCTCCGCCGAACCGCCGCCGCCATCATGGACACGAGTCGTGTGCAACCTATCAAGCTAGCTAGGGTGAGGCGGGATCTCGGTTTTGAGGGCCAGAGTGACGGGGCAGGGGGAACCGGGCAGGCCAGGTCTGACTCCAGCTTCTTTCCTCCAGGTCACCAAGGTGCTGGGCAGGACCGGCTCCCAGGGACAGTGCACGCAGGTGAGCTGGTGGGGGGCCCCGGGTCTGAACCCGGCCAGTTGGAATCTTAGAACGGATGTCCCGTTTATCCCAGGGTTCCTGGGGATTCCGAACCCTCACCCAAGGCCCTGCCAGCCGGGTCTGAGTTTGGATGACCCTCCTTTTCTTGGTTCACACGGTTCCAACGACCACTGTGTACCTCCATGCCTGGCCGAGTCTGCTCCCGTCCCCACCGGGCCCAGAGCTGCAGTTTTTCCCCCTGATGACTGTCTCCGGCGCTCGAGAGCTTTGTCTGCCGTGTCTCCGCCGTTTTCATCTTTTTTTTCTCGGCCCAGTCCTACCTGCCAGCCAGCCTCAGGCTCCTTTTTAAGTATCCCTGGGCAGGCCCCTGTACGCCCTCTAAATCCACATCTCCTGCCCACCCCGTGGTTGTTCGTGGCCGCCTCACACTGCCTTCCGCCCCCCCTTAATGGGCCTCGCAGGTGCGCGTGGAATTCATGGACGACACGAGCCGCTCCATCATCCGCAACGTGAAAGGCCCCGTGCGCGAGGGCGACGTGCTCACCCTGTTGGAGTCCGAGCGAGAGGCTCGGAGACTGCGCTGAGTTGGTGTCCGGTGAGTCAGTACTGGAATGTGGGAACCGAGAGCCGGCCTCTTACCTGGCGGTAGGGAGGCTTTGCCAAGCCCACGGTTAAGGGGGCTCTTGGGAGTGGGGTCGGGAGGTAGAAGCCGGCTGCTGAAATTGGCAAAGCGGGAGAGGGAGTTTGCCTGTTGCTGGGAGGCCTGTCAGCATGTCCTGCTTGGGTCTGTTTACAGGGTCCTGGATGTCTAGGTGGACCACATGGCCCCTGGGGATGACGTTCGACTGTTAATAAAGCGTTTGTATTGTATGTAAAGCAGGGTTTTGTCTGGGTTGTGTCTAAACCTATGAAACTCTCCAGTGCAGCACCCAGGGGTCACTGGTCCTTTTGCATTCTGGAAAACTTGGCGGGGGGGGGGGGGGGGGGCTTGCCCAACAAGGCATTTTCTTTATGAGGAGAGGGAACCGTGTGTGTATGTGTTCCTAAAACAAGATACAGGTTTAGTTAACATTTTATTAGGGAAGAAGGGTGGGCCAGGTCTGCATGGGTGGGCAGCAGACCCTGGCCCCTTCTTCACCCCTCCCTATCCAGGTCCACTGTGCCGGGCCACTCACTGAGTCGGGGGGTCTTCTCCACCGTCCGTGCTTCCTCTTACACCAGGCATGGCCGTGGGGGAGTCGGGGGGTGACTGGTGAGAAGAGGTGGGAGAGTCTCGTCACAGCCCTTGTGGGCAGAATGTTGTGGGTTTCTGCTCCCTCAGACTCAAGGATGCTTGATGTAGTGGAGGACTTGTTTCTCTCTCCGCTGTGGTCGTTTCTAAAGAACTCTACCCTTCGCACTGGAGCCAGGCTGCCTGGGTTTAATTATGTGGATGTGAAGAACAGCCTGGCACTTGCCTTTTGAGTGCAAGTCTCTATCTCTTGGGGACAAACGTGAGTGTTCCCTTCCCTGCCTGCTGCCAGCAGACTCATTCAGTCTTCAGTTCTGGAGCTACCTGTGCAGGAGGCCCGCGTCCCCTCCCAACAACAGGCCTAGCGCCCAAGAGTTGCTAATTCCTTGGCTATGAGTCTCCTTGGGGGCAGTAACAGGAGTTCACTGACGGAGAAGCTCCGACATCTCTCCTCTGATCATGGGACTTTCCCTCTGCAGGCCTTAGGCTCATGGTCTATAAAGTGGAGGAGTGTCCCAGCCATGTAGAGGAGATTCAGACCTGGTTCCCACCCCATTGCTGCCCTGGGGGTGCAGAGAGGGAGACCTCCCTAGAGCACACGTGGTGGCCCCCTCCGACGTGCAGCTGTCGTTCCATGGCTTGGAGCAGGAACTGCACTTACCGGGGGACCAGGCTGGCCCGGGCTCAGATGAGCGTGCAGCAGAGCAGCCACCTCATCCTGTTCAGCCTCCAGAGCCATGGCCAGGGCACTGGTGCCCTCCTGAAGGATCATAGGGACAGTTAGGTCCCTGAACTGAGGCGTGGGTATCCTGCCGCCCCCACCGGCCCTACAGTGGCTCACGTTATCCAGGAGAGCGGGGTCGCAGCCTGGCTGTGCCAGCAGCAACCGGACGGTTTCCAGGTGTCCGTACTCACTGGCACACATCAGCGCCGTGGCCCCGTCCACATCTTGCATGTTGACGTCTGCCCCACATGCCAGCAGGGCTGCCACCATGTCCTGTTGGCCGTGGCTGATGGCCAGCATGAGGGCTGTCTGCCCTGTCTGAGGGGTGAAGAAAAGGACAGGGCTGGGTGGGCTCTAGGGGGAGGGAGGTCAAAGATGGTTGGCTCCTGAAGTGGAAGTGACCTCTGGGCTTGGAGCCAGGGAGAGTGTCCACGCACCTGGCTGGCCTTGGCATTGACATCGCCCATGCGGAAGAGTCTCTGGACCACAGCCATCTCCTCTTGCCCCACGGAGGTGAGTGCGGCCAACATGAGGGCCGAGTAGCCTGCTCGATTCTGGCAGTCAACCTTGCAGACCCCTGGGAGAAAGGGGGATCAGTCAACTGAGAAGAGCCCACACTCCTTGCCCAACCTGGTCCACTCACCTCTCCCCCAGTGTCAGGCTCATGTAATGGGTGGTCACCAAGGGTCATGAATTGACTGTCCCCTTTGTCTACGCCGTGCTCCTACGAAGAGCACCGTAGCTCCTCCCTTCCCTCACCTACAGGGTTCTGCCCAAATTTCACCTTAGTGGAGCCGTCTCTCCACTCCCTACTTCAAACTGGTTTGGGAACTTTGTTGTGTTTGTTGTATCCCCCAGTAACTAGAACAATACCTGGCACATAGTAGTTGCCCAGTAAGGAATATTTTCATGGCAACTACCTACCAAGGCACCACCATCGTCCTCCCAGAGAGCTGTGCCAACTGATCCACCTTGGTTTAAAACCCTTCTGTGATCCTGTTGCTCCTGGGTTCCTGGCCATTGACCCCCCCCCGCCCCATGACCTCTGGGCCTGTTACTTAACTGTCCCTCAGCGACCCTCCCCTGCCTCCAGCCTGTTACAGATTAAATGTTCCCCAAAATATGTTGCAGTCCTACCCCCCACCCATATGGTAGATGCAACCTTATTTGGGAGTAGTGTGCAGTTAAAATGAGACTGTTACCGTAGACCCTAACCCCCTGTGGTGTCCAAGGAGCTAGGAGGGTCTTGTAAAGTCAGAGGGGGGTGGGGGATGGGAGACAGCAAGTTGATACCTTGCAGAGGTAGGAGTTCAGAAGTGGGGTTCTGGGAAGAGGTTAGGGAAGCGGCATAGTTACTGGTGGCATCAAGAGTTTTTAGGTGACCCTCAGGTATAAGGCTGATGTAGATGTCAAGGGAGAGGAGCCAGGAGGTTGGAGGGGTGAGAGAAAACAGCCCCTATGTGAGCGGTGCATTGAGGGTTTGGGTCCTCGGGAGGGAGGACCAGGTTGACAACAAGCGAGTAGGGGCATAGGGGATACTGGTGGTGACTCAACCAAAAGGCCCAGAGCAGGGTCTGGGGAGGTGGCCGAATGGGGTTCAGTATAGGAAGTAAGAGTCCAATGAGCCCTGGGCCTCTCTGAATGACTGACTGCCATGCCTGCCTTGCCATCTGCCATGGCCACCATCCACTTAAGGCAAGGGATGCCCAGGAAAGACCTCAAATTCAGGCATCGTCTCCTCCCAAGCCTCAGCTCCCTCATGAGTCAAGACTTGCGGGGACGGGAAGAATCTGTGTTTAGGGATGGGGGAGAGAACAGGGGAGTTGTCTCAGCTGCAGTGAGACGGCCTCCCAAGGGTGGGCCCAGAGTTTACTGGACCTGAGAGAGGGCACTCAGAAGGGCTCTTGGTGGGCAGTCGGCTTGTCCTCTGTCCATTGTCCCCTCTGCTGAGTCCCATTGGGAAAGCAGCTGTATGTGGATGGCCCACTCCAGTACTGTAGCTGGTACCCAGCAGGCGGTCAGTACTTGCCTGTGGGCTCAGCAACACCTGGAGCCGTCTAGCTCTACTCCAGAGGCTGAGGACAGGAATGTGTGAGCTGGAACGGGTGGAGGGCGAGGCACAGTGCCAGCCCAGGAAGCCAGCCCAGGCCAGGGAGTACTTCCCTCAAGGCCAGGGAGGTAGGTGGGTGGGCGGGTATTGGGGCTGAGGTTGAGGGACAGGAGTGACCACTGCGTGGCCACCTGCATGCCTGACACTGCTCTACCCGTGTTGCGCAGCTCCCGGGGGAGGAAGGTGCTGCTCCCCATTTCACAGCTGAGGAAGCCGAAGACTGGTGAGATTAAATAATTACCCTAAGTATCAGTCCACATAATTGGAAAGCCTGGAATTCCCTCCCCCAGGAAAGTGTGAAGGGTCAAGAGCCCAGAGCTTGGAGAAGAGACTCCATGCTGGATCCTGAAGCCTCCAGTGAAGGGCCGATGCCGCCATCTGCTTGGCCAGCCCCGCTCTGCAGGCTTCTCCAGGTTTTCCCGGCTGACCTGGCCCGGCCCTCCTTTCCGTGCCCCCCCCCCCCGCCATCGCCTGGTACCCTGCCCACCCCTCCTGCCTGCTGACCAGTATCCAGCAGCAAGCTGGAAATGGCCAGGTTCCCATGGGAAACGCTGTAGTGCAGGGCTGTGTTCCCGTTCCCGTCAGCCAGGTTCACCACGTGCGCCAGCAGCTCTGGTCCCAGGCGCGCCAGGGCGCCCAGCACCTGGGCTACGGACTCCGCCTGCGAACGTCGCTGGCTGGACACTCGAAACCACTCCATGGCCACCAGGCGTGCCGCGCCCTGCCGGGACAGGGAGAGGCATCAGCGATGGTCCCCGCGGGGGGCGGGGGGGTCACTGCTTGTCATGGGGCCGCACCCCTTTGGAGGAGGGAGGACAGTGTGGGTCCCAGGCCCACAGGAACAGGACTCTGGGAAGTGCATGTGGGAAAACCTGGAGGAAGGCGGGGAGGCGCTTGTCTTTGAGGAGTCTGGGAGCGAGCTTGGGACTTCAATCAGTGCTTGGGGGCGACCCTTTTAGGGAACCAGGATCAGAGCTGCCCTTTTCTCACCATCCCAAACAACAATTTATCTAATATGTAATAAAGTTTCTGCTTCTCTTACCCACCCCCCACCCCCCAAAAAATGAGCGCTCCCCTGGGGGGAGATCCCGCTGGAGAGCCTGGGATTGGTGGAGGTCCCTGGCGGCAGGGGACGGAACTCGGGACCCTTCCCCAACTCGAGGCAACGGAGGCGCTTCCCTGAGGACGTCAGGGGAAGTCCCTGGCGGGCCCACGACTTCGTCTGTGAAGGGCTGTCCTCGCACTCACGCCATCGCGGGCGACTCCACGGGCCTGGCTCAGCTGTCGCTGCAGCGCAAGGCATGCCTCCTTCAACCGCGGGCTCAGTTCACACCTACCCAGGAAGTGGGGAGAGACTCAGGAGTGGTGGGGGCGGGGGCTCGCGGAAATTGGAAAGAGAACAACCGCTCCTACTCTGGTGTCCCTGGTGCTGCTCACCTCCCCTGCGCACCCGGCTGAGACTCTGCCTCCGAGTCCAGCTCAGGGTCCCGAGCGACCGCACTGCTGGGAGGGCCGGGGATGCCGGAGTCGGATCCCTGGCTGCTGTCATCCCCGGAGCCAAAGGAGTTTCTCTTCGGGGGCTCATCAGCGCCATCCTCGCTGTCACTGTCTTCCTCGCTGGATGAGCTCTCATACCTGGGGGCGGGGCAGGTTGGGAGGGGTCTGCTGAGCCTCCCCTATGGGCTCGTTCTGGAGCCCTGTGAGGCGGAGTGGCTGTCCCTATTTCCCAGATGAGGAAACTGAGGCTTGCCGAGACCGTGCTGCGAGCGAGGGCCAGAGCTGGGATTCAAACCCCAGTCCATGTTCCCTCGGATGCTGCCATGGGAGGGGGAAATGCTCACTCTCCGTTGGGGACCCCAACAAACTGCAGGCTTTTGGGTCCAGGGCTGGGTTGGGCGCCAGGGGTACCGTCTCTCTTCTTCATGATGGATTTGAGGGTGCCTGCCAGGGATCAGATTAAGACGCTGAGTTCGAGTCCGATGGCCAGAAAGCCAGGCCTCCGAGAGCGGTCTGTACTCACCGGTGGGCGCCATGGTCCTGTCCCCGTCCGTGAGTACGGGCGGGTTCTGCATCAGAGAAGGAGCCTCTATGGGAGGCTCGGTCTGCGTGGCCGTCTCAACACAACCCCATGGGGTCTGGGTGGCAGCTTCCCGCGGCTGAGACCCGGCCGCTGCTGCCTCCTCCGCAGCCTCGCGGGCCTCCTGCAGCTCTCGCAGCCGGCTCCGCAGAAGCTCGCTCACCCCGCACTGGTGCTCCAGGCTGGTGCGCAGCAGCTCCAGCTCGCGCTCGGCGGCCTCGGGCAGCCCCAGCAACGCCTCGGTCACCCACGAGTCCGCCTCAAGGGTCTCAGGGGCTGCCTCCACGCTGGCCTCCCGGGTCTCCGGCACTGCCTGGGCTCCCGCGTCTTGGGTCCCCAGCACGGCCTGGGTTCCAGGATCTTGCGTCTGGGGCGCCCTATCGGGGCTCCCCGCCGCCCCGTCGAGGGCCTGGAGTGCGTCCTCGCTGCACCTCGGAGCTTTCCCGTCGGGGCCGTCCACCCGGGGGCTCGCCCTGGCGCGAAAGCCGCGCTCGGAGGTGGCCAGGCGTTCGGTGAGGCGGCGCAGCTGTGCGAGCTTGTCCGGGCGCGCCTCGACCTCTACATCGGGCTCCTGCTGCCGGCGCAAAGCCAGCAGCCGCGCCTTCTCCGCTCGCAGCACACGCACCTGCTCCTGCAGCTCGGGCAGCGCGCGTGCCTGGTCCTCGAGCTCGCGCAGACGCCGCAGCGCCACGGCCATCTGCTCACGCACGAGCTGCAGTTGCGCGGGGCCCGGTGAGGCAGGGGCGGGATGGGGGGCGGAGCCCGGGACCGGGCTGCTGCGGCCCGAGCTGCTCGGGCTGCGCTCGCGCGCCTGCGCCTGAGCCTGCGCCAGCTCCAGCCGCCGCCTAGTCTCCAGGAGTGTGTCCTGGACGTGCGGGTTGCGCACAGGTGCGCGAGGCGACAGCGGAGGCGGCAGGAGCCACGAGGGCGCAGCTGGGGAAAGTGAGCCCGACGCTCCCCCGTCATCACTGACCAGGGACTCGGTAGATGTCCAGGCGCCAGGGCTACGCGCGCCCGCAAGGCCGACACGGGGCGCGCGGGGATAGCGTGCCGGCTGGGCTCCCTGCGCGCGACGGGCGACGGGGCCTCGCTCCAGCTCCTCCACGTATTTAAGGAAGTCCAGGTCCAAGTGGAAGCCATAGGGCGTCTCCACCGTGTAGGGTGAGCTCGGGCTGCGGGCGCCCCCAATCGGGCCGGGGCACAGGCGAGGGCCACCCGGGTCTGCGGGTATGACAGGGGCGTGAAGGATGTCAGGCCGGGGGCCCCGGAAGGACTGGACAAACGGAGCGCGTCCCCCACCCCATCACGACACTCCAGCAGGGCTGCACTGCACCAAACTCTGCACACCTGCCATTGTATACCTGAAGCTCAAATGCCTGTGTGCACCCAAATAGTCATGCAAACACGCACTTATTGAGCTCCTACTATATGCTAAGCACTTTTGTAGGCACTGAGGACACAGCAGCGGACAAGACAAACACCCCTGCCCTCTTGTAGGAGACAGATACAATCATTACAAATGGTGCTTAGGGCAGTAATGAGGCAGAGAATAACTGGAGGGCAGGTTTCCTGCAGAAGGGACTTACAAGTTGATCCCTAAGTGATGAGAGGGAATCACTTGGGGACAGAAGGTTCCTAAAAGAAAACAGCCCATGCAAAGACCCTGGGGTGGAGTGAGCAGAGTGGGCTGGGGTCACGGGTGGAGGGGAGAGTGTCTGGAGCAGAGTGATGGAAGACAGGGAAGAAGAATAGGAGAGGTGAGCTGGGGCCAGACAGAGGGGGCTCCTGGGCCTCCTGAAGAGCGGGGCTATATTCCACATGTGATAGGGCAGCACAGGAGGGTTTTAAACAGGGCCCAGGCGTTACCCAAAGGACAGTTGGAAAGGACTCTCTGGCCACTACGCAAAGGAGGGAACTGCGGGGCAGTGTCCACAGCCCAGCACCAAGTGAGGATCTGTGCACACACACATATTCCATTTTGTACACTCACCAGACATGTTCTGATTCAGGGCAAACTTGGCCATGTTTCCTGGAGTAGTCACCAGACACACCCTGAAAAAGGCCCCAGAGGAGGTGAGGGTGCAGTCAGGCCCTGACCCTCTCACTGTGCCCCTGGGGTCAGCCTGGATTCTGAGTGAACAGACTCAAGAGCTCCCCTCCAACCATCCACCACCGCACAGCACCCTGTCCTCCCTCCTCCCTCTAAAGACCGTGAAACTTCGGAATGGATGGATATGGGGACACCCAGGTGCCAGGTCTCAGCCTGTTGGGCAGGAGGAGACAGGAAGGACATCAAAAGAAGAGAGAAAAGTGACCAAGAAGACAAGAGGAGCTGGGGGTGGGGTGGGGATGGGTGTCACTCCAGACCTGCTGAGATTTCTGTCAATCCCTGGAGAAAATCAGAAATTAATGGTCAAAGGAGTAGATTTTGAACCTTCAGAGGAGGAAGGCGAGAATTAGAAACCCTTCAGGGGCTCATTAAGGACACATCCAGTTAGATTCTTCAGATTAAAGATCAAACAGCCGTGGCTGGGTAGCTCAGTTGTTAGAACATCATCCTGATAACCCAAGGCTGAGGGTTCGATCCCCTACATACAGGGGCACATACAAGAATCAACCAATGAATGTGTAAATAAGTGGAACAACAAATCTATGTTTCTCTCTCTCAAATCAATAAATTAAAAAAAAAACAACAAAAAATACAGAATCACTTGAATTTTTTCCTTAGACAAATGCAAACAAGATGCATATGAATTTTTACCAAGGTCATTTGTGAGAACCTTGTAGGGAAGATGGAGAGTTGTGGGCCAGAGACACTAAGGATGCAAATCAGTGGATACCTGATTTGCGGAATATCTAGTGGAGTGGCACAAAGCTCTGCCCTTGGCCTGTAAGAAGAGCTCACAGTGGACCTACGGCACCCAAGTTATCAGAGATGAAAGCTATACCTGGGGCTGGAGAGAGAGTAACTTTCTGGGTGATGTGATGGAGGCTCTAAGAAACTGAGGGAGATTGGGACACATCTAATAATGTGATATTTAACAAGGACAAGTATTGAGTCCAGAACTTTGACTCAGCACAGGATGAGAAAGATGGGGCTTTGAAGCACCCACAGTAAAAACCTTCAGGGAAGGGCAGGCTGCCTGTATCAAGTGCCTACTGTATGCCCTGCTTGATTAAATGTAACCCCATGCAATCCTGCAAGGTAGATATTATTCACATTTTCCAGATGGGGATACTGAGGCACAGAGCAATTAAGTCAACTGCCTGCGGGAAACACCCTCAGATTGGGCTCAGCTCATCTTCCAGGGGCCCTTGCCTACCAGACCCAGTGTGTACGCTCCCTAACCCACTGCTCCTCTGGGCTAAACTAACCAGCTAGCAGCCTTCCCGGTCACCCCTTCTGGCCTCTTGTCCTCCCGATGACCACCTGTGTGCCCGATACCCACCCGCCCGTCTGCCCACCTGATTCACCACTGTTGGGGGGATGCTTCCACTTCCCACTTTTGTCCAGCCTGGATCCCTGACCTCCCCCACCCACTCCAGGCCAAGCAGAGCCCCTTCCAGGCCCGAGGCAGCTGTTTCCTGTCCCTTTACACCGGCTGCCAGGGGCGGGCCAGCAGGGCAGCTGGTCATCGCAGAGAACACCCAGTGCCTCTCAGGACTTGTTTTTAGGAAACTGACAGAGAAGAGCTGGGCCGTGGGAAAGGCCTGCGTGGAGGGTTGGAAGGTCTGGGCCTGCCTCAGTTGGGGTCAGTCCCCCTGCCCCCCGGTGTGCTGGGGACACCAAAATCCAAGGTGTGCAGGAACTCAAAGAACAGCTGTGGGCCATTCTTAGGACCCAAACCAGCTGCAGCAAATGGACTCACTGGCTGGGCTGAGAAATGAATGGGTGCTCCAAGAACAGTGAATAATAATAAAAACACTTTTTCTATTTTCTTTGGAGCAGCATTAATTCTAGGCAATCTGTGGGTATTATTATTATCATATTATTTTTAATCCCAGTTGAATCCTCCACCCAGGTGTTCTTACTGTCATTCTCTTTTCCTCCATTATACAGATGGAGAAAGAGATGAAGACAGATTAAATAATCTGCCCAAGGTCCTATGCAGGCAAAGGCAGGATTTGAACCCAGGCAGCTTTGCCACTGTTTCTGCATTGGCCAAGCCACTTTACAGCCTTCTGGAAGGAGCCCTCCTCCTCCCGGACCTGTCCTCCGGCCTGCACTCCGGCCTGTCCCCGCGTGTGTCCCCGGTGGCGAGGAGCGGGCTCACGCCCCGGTGGCTCCAGGGCTGCGGTCTCACCCGAGGTGGGGCGTGGGGGCGCGCAGTTGCCCTCGTCTCTCCTCCGCTCCCTGCCTGAGCTATCACAGCTGGATCCGGATCTTCTGCCTGAGGCCCCCTCATTAGGCCGTCAGAGCCGACGCCAGACGCCCGCACTCCAGCCCCAGGAACTATTTCGGGATTTGGAGCTGTGATCACGAAATACGAGGAGCGCGGGCTCCAGGTCCCGAGGGCGGGGAGGGAGTAGGGGAGGGGACGGGGGCGGGACGTGTTCCCTGCGCGGTGGCACCCCCTGACATTGGGGCAGAACTCTCACACCCCTGAGGTGGGGGTGGAGGCTGAAGATGGTGTGCGGGGCAGGATTCAGGCCAGCACCCACCACCCCTCACCGTCCCCCCAGGACGGCCTGGCAGAGACAGAGCCGTTTCCTACAGGAAACGCCGCCGGGCGGTTCCATCCGCTGTCCATTGTCTGCCGGCCGGGTGGCCGTCCGTCCCTCCCCCAACACCGTTTCCGTATCACCCCACACACCCAGGTCCAGCGCAAGGGGCACGACCCGGGTCCCCAAGCTATCCGGGAGGGACACGCAGGGAGAGGGTCTCGGAGTCGGCTGGGGAACTAGGGGACGAAATAGCCCCCATTTGGCTCCTGAAGGGCAGGAGGGGGGCAATCTCACGAATCCAGAGGCCCCCACTCTGCTCGCTGCCCACCTGGGGCTCTCTGCGTGGGAGGGGTCCCAGCCAGAGGACGTGGCGCCCGCCCCGTCGCAGCGCGCTGAGCCCGCAGAGGGGCTGAAGGCCCAGCGCCCCTCCCGGGGCGTCCCCTGAGCCCCCCATGATCCGTATCGGTGCCCCGCAAGCAGGGGATTTACCTGATACCGGAGCCCCAGCCGCGCCCGCACCCGAGCCCGCCCCTTCGAAGCTCGAGAACGGGTTATCAATGCCTTGACTCTAACTGACGGTCAGTCCAGCCAACCAACGCCCGACGCTCTCTGAACTGTCCAATAATGAGGCGGGATGGGCTGGGCCCGCGTGTGTAAGGCGTGGTTGGGGGCGGGGCCTGGAGTGACGGTTCCTAAGGGCGGATGCGGCCGAGAGCCGCTGCCAAGCGCGGCTCTGCTTAGGGCTCTAAGGACCCTAGATTTTATCCATTGGCGGTTAGAGGGCCATGGGAAGGCTCTGAGCAGCAGAGTCACTGGGGGGGGGGGGGGGATTTGTGTGTTTGGAAGATCGTTTGGGTAGACGCGGGAAGGACTGATGTTCAGGTCCCAGTGTCTGGGTGAGGTCCCAGGACCCTGGGTCTTTCCCACCGCAGGGTCTTTGCATATGCTGTTCCACCTTCCTGAACTGTCTTCCCTGCACATGCTCTCCCACTGGGTCAGTGCCATAAGGACAGGAAACTGATTTATTTTGGTCACTCCTTTATCCAGTACCCCGGCACACATTAGGAGCTCAATACATGTTTCTTGAACTTATTTACAGTTACATTTAACACTGTAACCCATTTGGGATATATTATGATCTAAAATGACTGTACAGGTTGTTTTCTCCCGATTTTTAAAGCATTATTGAGCACCTGGCACTGTGTAGGTCCCTAAGTGGTCACAATCCCTGCCACGCTGGATTTCAAAGCTAAGAAGCAGAGGCAGATTTTCAAGTTAAAGTTTATGGTAATGGGATGACAGATGGAAGCTAGAGTCCATGGTAAGAGAAAAGAGCGATAAATTCCTGCCCTGGAGGATCTGGAGAGTCAGCTGCAGGGGTACTGCTTAAGGAAGGGTGCTCCAAATAGGAGAAAGGGAATGTTCAAAGGAAGAGAAGAAGGAAGCTCCCTATATGGCGGACTTTGACTTGGTCAGCGTGTTGGTGGGAGGGGAGCTGAAGGGACAGGCAGAAAGGCACATCTGAAGTTCTTAGAGTTTGTCTGATCAAATGCAGTCTGTCCAGAGGCAAGTGATTTATTCCAGATTCCTCTATGTTTGTCCCAGTGCTAGTCCACTTTAACTACTGTAGCTTTAGAATGTATTTCAATATATGATACTCCTCTTTTTGTAAAATTTGTCAGCTATTTCTATTGTCTTTTCTTCTTGCAGACAAACTGTATGTAGAAATCTGTCAAGCTTCCCCATGAAAACTCCACTGGAATTTTTTAAATATTCATTCATTCATTCATTTTTAGAGGGAGAGGGAGAAAGAGAGAGAGAGAGAGAAACAGTGATGTGTGAGAGGAATGTGAACAGGTTGCTCTCATTCACACCCCATCCGGGGACCGACCCCAGGCATGTGCCGTGATCAGGAATCGAACTGGCGACCTTTTGCTTTGCAGTATGTTGCCCAACAAACTGAGCCACACCGGTCAGGGTTAAATATTTTTATTGAATAATAGAATGCACACGCAAAGCCAAACTCAAGAAACCACACAAAATAAATGTATAGTTTAAGGAGTACTGAAAGGAGATTCTCAACCAGGGTGATTTTGTCCTTTGGAGGACACATGGCTAAATCTGGAGACGTTTTTGATGGTCCTGATGGAGAAGGGAAAGGGATCTAGCAGGTGAAGGCTAGGGATGCCGCACAGAGCAGCCTCGCATAACAAAGGATTTTCTGGCCTGAATGTCAGTAGTACTGAGTTTGAGAAACCCAGCTAGGAAGTGAACATAATTGCAATATAACACCTGCCCAGGTTAACATGTCACCAGCTACCTTAGAAGGCCCTCCATGAGCCACGTCTGCATCACAGCTGCCTTCTTACTTCACAAAGTAACCACCGTTGTGACTTCTGCAGTAATCATTCCCTTGCATTCCTGAATAGTTTGCCACTTGAATATGAATCTCTAGACCCCGTAGTTTAGTCTTGCCCATTCCAAAAAAAGAATGACATGTCTCTTCTGTCTCTGTTAATTCATAGCCCCTCTATTGCCTTCCTCCGCTTACAATCAATCACTTAAATCACTTGCACAGCTCAGGCTTTTTGTCCTGAAGTGTTTCCCACGGTCGAGGTGTCGCTGATCGCACACCCATGACGCAGTCCAGTACGTTGCTCTGTCTTCTCTGCGTCCTGAACATTGGCATTTTGTGGTAGAGCTGGGGTCAGACTTGGGTGTGGTTCCTTTGGTACAATCATGGGCATCATTGTGTCTTTTCACCAGGAGGCTTATGCTCTGTCCCTCCTTGCATGAGGCCAGCAGCCACTGAGGGCTGCAAAATAGTGACCTTCCCCCAGCATTTGTTCCCTGTTTATTAGCTAGAATTCCTAATTTTCCAGATGCTTCCTCCCTCTTACTTCCTATGTGGTTACCCAGGGAATGTTCCTGTAGGAAAGGCAAGATAAGGGCTGGCTTCTTCCACTTCATATACCACTGTTCAAAATAATGCATGATTCCCCACAATGCTCTAAGGTGATGCCTAGGCTTTGTTGCTGTTAAGTCGTTAGGAGCTCATGAAGCCCTGGCTGGGTAGCTCAGTAGGTTAGAGCATCGTCCTGATAACCCAAGGTTGCGGCTTCTATCCCCTGCAGGGCACGTCAAAGAATCAACCAGTGAATGAATAAGTAAGTGGAACAATAAAACGACGTCCCTCTCCTCCTCTCTCTCTAAAATCAATTTTTTTAAAGTAATTATGAGCTTATGGATTGAAACAATTATCCTCACAGCAGGGTCCACCTGGCAGAGGGAGCCTTTGTAGGATGAAACTTTTAGAAGTGACTCTGGTAGTTTTCGATAATGTTCTTGCTCTCTTGTAAGACCAGATGTTCCAGGTTCATCTTGGACATATTGTCCCAGACCTGGCATCAGACAGAAACTCTGGATTTTGTTAGTGAGGAATACAGTAGTTTGTGTGCTAGGAAAGCTCATTTGTTATTGTGTCTAGATTTTCTTAGTGAGCAGAGCTAAGTAGGGCAATATATATGTATATTGATATACATATATAGATAGACACACACACATATACACATATGTGTGTATGTATTGGCTTGGTCAAAAAGTTCATGTGATTTTTTTTCTTTAAAATAAAAGACATTTTTTCATTTTCACCAATAACTTTAATTATTTGGATATTTTGAGTATGTCGGCTATTTCCTGTGTGGGAACATCGATTGTGCTCAATTAGTGTCTCGATTTGATTGTTATCAACTTCAACTAGTCTATCCAACCGTGGAGCATCGTCCAGCAAGAAGTCTCTGGCACGAAACTTCACAAACCACTTTTGATACACTTGGTCGGTCACAGCACCTTCCTCATATACTGCACAAACCTTTTTCGTGTGTGTGTTTCAGCTGCATTCTTATCTTTCTTGAAATAATAAAACATAATATGCCAAAAATGTTGCTTATTTTCTTCTATCTTCATTATTAAAATGACTACACAAAAATTCACCAGTTTTGATAAGCTTTTTAAAAATGCACAATGATATAACAGCTGTCACAGTACACTCTAACAAAACTGTTTCAAATGCAGTTAAAGACAACTAAGCACTTCTAGAACTAACATGGAAAAAAACCAAATGAACTTTTTGGCCAAACCAATATATATATTATGTATTTTTTTTAAATTCCTCATTCGTTTACTGATTTGAGAGAGAGAGAGCAATGTGAGAGAGAAACATCAACAAGTTGCTTCCCATATGCACCCTGACTGGGGATCAAACCTACATCTTAGGTATGTGTCCTGACCAGGAGTCAAACTTGGAAACTTTTGGTGTGTCAGATGACGCTCCAACCAATTAAGCCACCAGCCACGGCAGTTATATTACATCATTTATGGTTATGAGATATATGATGATGGCATAATATAATGAATAATAGTATTATAATAAATATAATACATAGTATATATGATATAATGCATTTATATATTTATTATTAATAATTATATACATATATGTATTTTATGTTATATAAATGCTTTATGAGTTCGTTTTTATATTTCCAATTCAAGTTCAGGACTACATGATTTTTATTCAACTTCTTGGTGGTAGGTAGAATAACATGCATGGTCATCTCTGCATGATCATCTCTGGAATCTAGGAACATGTTACCTCACATGGCAAAAGGGACTTGCAGATGTGATTATATTAGGGATCTTGCGATGGGGAGGTGATCCTGGATTATCTGGGCGGGCCCAGTGTCATCGTAAATAAAGGTCCCTCTAAGAGCTGGCAGGAGGGACAGGGTCAGGGAAGGCGCTGTGATGGACGACTGAGACAGGTGCGAGAGCAGGGATTGCTGGGAGGGTGCCACCAGCCCAGGGGCGCCTTTGCCTCCAGAAGCCCGAAAAGGCGAGAAAATGGATCCTTTCCCTGGAGCATCGGGAGGAATTGCAGCCCTGAAGACATCTTGGTTTCAGTCCAGTGAGACCCACGTTGTACTTCTGACCTCAGAACTGGAGGAAAATAAATTTGTCGTTTTAAGCCACTAAGATTGTGGTAATTTGTTACAGCAGCCATGGGAAACCAATATCAGTGCTTCTGCTACCTGTTGCTCCTTTCTCCCATAAAAATCCTCATTCTCAAGGACATGGAGGGAGACAAAATTAGAATAGTGCATAATTACTTACTTGCTTTAATCAAAATTGCTCACGTAACAGTCTCAAAATAATATGCTAGTATTACCACCAATATTTGACAAAAAATACTTTAAAAGTATGTTTTGCATATGTTCTCCCAATTCTCCACCCTTTCTCTGATTGTTGTACTGCATCCACTGTGAGCACATTTTGCCATTCGGTACAAGAATCTTTCCTTTTATCCCCATTCGGTCTTAGTTTTATAAAAAACTGTATGTTTCATACTCTCTACCAGTCCTATATTCACATATTTCTAATCATCTGTTTGTCTAAGGTAGAATCTTCATGATCTCATGGAAACTATATTCCCTTAGTTATTACATGTTGATAACATTCTGTATTCTT